AGGATCACAAATTTAAACCCAGCCTAGGCAATTTAGTGACTCAGTGAGACCTGCCTCAAAATATAAATAAAAAATAATAAGGGCTGGGGATATAACTCAGTGCAAAGGACCTCTGTACTAAAAACAAATAAGCAAACCTTTCCTGGGTTAACTTTGATGAGCCAGACTTGAATCTTTTGGAGCAGTTGTGGATGTGGAAGTATGAGGAGTAGAAATGATGCAATCTTTCTTTCACTACATAGAATATAAAAGGCCTAGAAAGGAAGCTATAGATTTTGTTGCCAGAAGCAGGGAAGTTGACAGGCAAAGCTACCGAAAAGTTTTCAAAAATAATCAGGTATTGGGCATGTGGCTCAATGGTAGAATGCATACTTAGAGCATACACAACAGTCTCCGGTGCTGCAAATGTAAAGTAAAATAAACTGTGATTTAAAACAAAATGTTTTTGATTGAGGGGGAAAAGGGTGAATTCTGATAAGAACTGCTTAGGAAAAACTTTAGAGAGGAGGAAATATTTTAATTGGGCCCTGAAGGAGAAGTAGCGTTTTTCCAAGGCAGAGAATGTATGTAAAGAAAGTAGTTGCTCATTTGAGAAGTTTGGTAGTGAAAAGAAAATTGAAATGGAAACCATTAGAATAAAAGAGAATGTTAAAAGATTTCATGTGGAGAAAACTAGCATTTTTATGGCAAAGAACGGAGTTAAGAAATTAACAGTGCAAGGAAGACAGTTTCAAATAAAGAAGTAGAAGGGAATCCAGGGGTTAAGGATATATGTGGACAAGGTAAACTTTTTGGAAAACCATTCATTCTCTGAGAACAAGTGAAAGTGGTAGTAGTGTCAAAAGTTAAAGGAATTTGTTGTCTAATAGTTAAGGAGTTTGCCTTTTGTTTTCTAAAATGAGTTCTAGGGCTGGGGATGTGGCTCCTGTTTTCCATTCCTAGCTCAACAGAAGAAAAAATAAAAATTAAATTTTAAAAATGAATAAGCACCAATGATACAGCTCAGTGGCACAGTGCCTGCCTGGCAAGTGCAAGGTTGCAAGTTGGATCCCTGGTGCCAAAAATAAATAAAATAAGAAAAAGGTTTTCAGTTATCTATTGTTTTGTAACAAATCATTCCAAAGAGTTTGGCCTGAATTCAGCTGGGTGGTTTCTTGTGCTGGTTCTGCTTTGGGTCAGTCTTGAGGGTGATGTCATCTGGAGTGTGGTTGGATAGTCTAGGTCTTTATTATGACATGTCTGGTGGTGGCTTCTGGCTATTGGCTGCATTTCTCTTAGTTTTCTCACTTTCAGTGAGCATTCATTCACATGGCTATGGCTGCTTTTCAAGAAAGAAGAGCTGAGGTACTAAGGTCTCCTATGACTTAGTCTTGGAACTTGGTGCTCTTCCACAATCCGTTAGTCAAAGCAAGTCCAGAGTTCTGCTCAGATGATGATAACTGAGAATTAGACTTTTCTTTATTGGAGGGGGCAACAAAATCATACTACAAAGGAGAGTATATGTTCAAGTGGGAAGAATTTGTGCCCACCCCTCAGCATTTTATTATATTTCCATTCATGATAGTCCAATTAAAATAATTTTGTAATAGAATACATCCATATACCCCCTAGATTCTATTAATTGATTTCCTATACTTGTTTTACCACATTTATTCAACTGCCATCCTTGAATCCATCAATTCATTGTTTTTATGCACTTTAAAGTAACTTGCAGACATCAGTGCTTTTCTTTAAGTACTTTGTGTATATTTAGTAAGAGTTCAATATTTACAGTTTTTTTTCTCCCGACATAAAATGTTTTCTTTTTTCTTTTTCTTTTTTTTTGGTACTAGGGATCAAACTCACCACCTCATGCTTGCTAGGCAGGCACTTATGCCACTGAGCTAAATCCCTGGCTTGGCATAAAGTTTATATACAACAAAGGATTCAAATTTAAATAAGCATCATTCCTATGTTCTGCGGTCCTACTACAGGAGGGAAAAATTTGGAATTGTTTTTCAGTAAACTGCCTCAGAAATTCAACTATAGTCGTATAAAAGAATGCAAACTAATTCTTAAAGGATATTCTTTGAGTACCTCCTTCGTTATGTCCTTATAATATTATCACTTGTCACCTAAATTTTCATTCTTATTGATTTGAATTTACTTTGAGTTTTCCCTGCATTCTTTCACTGCGCATATATAGTATAGCTCAAGGTCAGTGGTAAACCTTTTTTTCTTTCTTTTTATGTTTGAATAAAATGGGTTTGAAAAAATAAAAGAAAAAAGATAAAAGCATTTGGCTGTGTGTGGTAGCACATGCCTGCCATCCCAGCACTCTTGGGAAGCTGAGGCAGGATAATTGCCCTTAGTTCAAGACCACCCTGGGCTACATAGTGAGTTCAAGGCCAACCTGCACTATGTAGCAAGATCCTGTCTCAAAAGAACTAAAAAAAATTTTTTTGAAGTGTCTGAACTTAGCAGCCATAAAATATAAGGGCTGGGAATATAGCTCAGTAGCATGTTGCCTGCTTTGCAAGTGTAAGGTCATGAGTTTGATTCCTAGTGCCTCCCTCAAATGTGAGAAGTGTTAAATATTATTTATTTATCATTATACATACACTATACTAAACTGCCTTTCAATAAGTAAAGAGCCACACTTAAACCATTTTTTAATGAGAAAAGAAGGAAAAAATGGAAACTAAACTTTGGTAAATACGCAGGAGAGAGGAGTTGGAGAGAAGGTAGGAAATAGAAAAAAAAAGCTTATGCCATGTACAGGTATAAATTCCCTATGATGAATGTGATCATCGTGTTTACCTACAATGCAATGATAAACTTTTAGACGCATTATTTCACGTAACGCATGTGGTTTTGTGTTTTAAATTAGGTAATTTAAGTTCATCAAGGTCATACAACTGCCTCTCCCCACATCCATTACTGGAAATTGAACCTAGAACCTAGGACCTTCACACTGAGCCACATTCCTAACTTCTATCTAGCTATCTAGCTAGCTGTGTCTTTCAATTTATCTCTATTTATTGAGACAGGATCTCACTGTGTCTGGTCTGGATTTGAACTTGCTTATCTATATCACTGGTGATCCTCTTGCCTCGGTGCTATGATTACAAACGCACACTACTACACCTAACCACTTTTTATTTTTCAAATGTAGTCTCACTAAGTTGCTAAATTGCTCATACAGAGTTTGAATTCATAATCTTCTCAGTCACCTCACTTAGCTCACACAGCTTCTTAAACCAAGGTGATGTAACTCCAGAATCCATATCATATTGGTTAGAAGTAAGAAATGTGCCTTTTGTTGCACAGTTGATAACTTTTTAATTGGATATATTACTTCTCAGAGTAATCTTGGCTTAAATTGTTCATGTTGAATAAGGGAGTTTAGATTTTTATTAATGGATTTATAAGACACAACCCCCCTTTCTTTTTTGGTATTATTGGGAATTTACCTCAAGGCCTTCACATTGAGGTCACCAAATTCATAGTGCAAATTTGCTAGAGGTTTGCAGTCCTCCTGTTTTAGCCTGTCAGAGTGCTGGGATTATAGGTGTGTGCCATTGTACTTGGCTAGAGAAAGTATAAAAATTAACTTCTGGTCTTTTCATGGAAAAAAGATAAGGATTTAAGGAGTTTTGCTGTTGTAACAGTTGATTTAACTTCAGATAATCAGAAGTATGATTGAAACGGTAGGATGAATTTAGTCATAACTTAACCTTTGAATGTAATAGTACATGTTATAGTCTTAATACCTTTATTATTCTAAGCTATGTTACATTATACATTTTCTTTTACATTATACAGTTTCATTCTAGAATATCATAAATCCTTACCTTATCACTATGTATGTTTTGCTTGTTTTCTGTATGGAGTTTTTTTTGAGACAGTCTCCTTCTGTAGATTATTCTGGTGTTGAACTCACTATGAGGCTGGCATTGAACTTGCAGCAGTCCTCCTGCTTCAGCCTCCTAAGTGCTGGGATGATAGGCATGTGCTATCACATCTGGATTTTTTTTGTTTGTTTTTTTAAGACAAAGACTCTTTTTTTTTTTTTTTTTTTTTTTTTTTTTAATCTTTTTCCATTTTATCGGTACCGGGGATCGAACTCACGACTGCCTGCTTGCAAGGCAGGTGCTTATGCCGCTGAGCCAAACCTCCGGCCCCAAGACAAAGACTCTTATGTGCAGTTCAGGCTGGCTTTAACCTTTCTATGTAGCCCATGCTGTCCTCAAACTTATGATCTTTCTGCCTGAGCCTCCCAAGTGATGGATTTATAGGTATGCACCATCATGTCTGCTGTGTACTGGGGGATTGAACCCAGGGCCTCATGCATTCTGGCAAGTACTCTTGAACTGAACTGTATCCCTAGCACTTTTTGTTTTGTTTTTAATTTTGGGACAGAATCTTGATAAATTGTGCTGACTGACCCCGAATTTGTGATCCTTTCCTCTTGAGCATCTAGGATTATAGGTGTATGTCCCCATGCTCTGCTCCGTTTAACATTATATGTTGATGAAATGTAGTTTCTTATTTTATTGAGTAGGTACTTGATTATTCTATTAACTAATTGACTTTTGAGCAACTTAACAAAAATGAAAGATCACAAGTGTTTTGACTTTGGATTTGCATGCAAGTAAACCCTATCTGAACTCTTAAAAATAAATAACTAGCAGTTAGGTTATTTCATGCCAAGAATTCTGCTACAAGAGCCACTGGTTAATGGCAGCTGTTGTGATAGCCTAAGTGCCAGCTCTCTATTTACAGAGTAAGCTTTTCTATTAGGTCAGGAATTGAGATAAAGTCATGTGTACCTAAACATATTCCTTAATCCAATAGTATATACTATTGGATTAATGGTTAATGGGTGTTCCAGATTTTACTTAACTGTTCACTTTATTTGCATAAGTGGCTGCAAACCCTGAATCATGTGGGGTAGGTTTCTAACAATTTATTTGAGCTTACAAAATCTAATTGAGTGTTTTGTTTGTTGTTGTGTATAGGCTTTGCTATTTTGGAAGCTATAAGAGAAAATAGACTAGAGGAAGATTTGGTCTTCTCAGTGGACATGGCTCAGATATCCAACAACAATGGATTTAAACAGTGTTCATCTAACCATTTGGAACCAACAAGAACAAAAGAAGTGGACAAAGAAGAAGCATTACAGATGGAAGCAGAGGCATTAGCAAAACTGCAAAAGGATAGGCAAGTGATTGATAATCAGAGAGGCTTTGAGTTGTCAAGCAGCACCAGACAAAAAGCACAAGTTTTAAACAAACAGGATTATGATCTTATGGTGTTTCCTGAATCAGAGTCTCACAAGAAAGCAGTTGATATTGATGTAGAAAAGCTCACCCAAGCTGAACTTGAGAAATTATTATTGGATGATGGTTTTGAAACTAGAAAAACACCTGTTTTGCCAGTTACTCCTGTTCTGAGCCCTTCATTTTCAGCACAGCTCTATCTTAGACCTACTATTCAGAGAGGACAGTGGCCACCTGGACCTTCCACTTATACTACTATTTATCCTTCAACTTACAGTAAACAGGCTGCATTCCAGAATGGCTTCAGTCCAAGAATGCCCACTTTTCCATCTGCTGAGCCTATATATTTAAGACTTCCAGGTCAGTCTCCGTATTTTTCATATCCTTTGACACCAGCCACAACCTTTCATCCACAAGGAAGTTTACCAATCTATCGTCCAGTAGTCAATCCTGATATGGCAAAACTATTTGACAAAATAGCTAGTACATCAGAATTTTTAAAAAATGGGAAAGCAAGGACTGATTTGGAGATAACAAATTCAAAAGCTGCAGTCAACAATCTACAGGGTTCTCCAAAGTCTGAGGATATTAGTAAATTTGACTGGCTAGACTTGGATCCTCTAAGTAAGCCAAAGGTGGACAATGTGGAAGTATTAGACCATGAAGAAGACAAACATGTTCCGAGTTTGCTAGCAGAGGATCCTTGGGATGCTGTTCTTCTAGGAGTGAGATCACCAGCAAGTTGTCACCTAGAAAGAAAGGTGACTGGAAAGTCTGTTTCTGGGGCAACAGTAACAAGAAGCCAGTCTTTAAATATTCGAACAACTCAACTTATGAAAGTTCAGGGCCAAATATCTCAGGTATAGTATTTTTTTTTTCTTTTCTTTTTTTTCCGTTTTATTTCAGGGGGGAAAGAATGAAGAAAAAAACTAAAAGTTTCAAAACACATCAATCAGGGGCAACAGTGGTATTTGTATCATCCCCAAATCATAGTGTTTTCTTACTAACCTAAAATTCATATTTGTGTGCATAATTTATTAGAAAAATATTTTTATTATAAATCTTGTTTTTCTTTGCTTCTAAGAGTGCTTTATATGGCAAATTGCTTACTTTAGTATTTTTTTCTAACGTTATAAATAAAACCTTCCAATCAAAGAACTGACTGTACCAGAGGTATTTAAGATATTCTTGCTTTCCATATCTCTTTACCTTTTTTAGATGGGGGGAGGGGACATACCAAGAATCGAACTCAAGACCTTGCCCTTGCCTGGTAGGTCCCTGTGCCACTGAGCTATATCCCCATCTCCGTATCTCTTTGGATAGTTTCCTTTCCTTTCATTTTTTTTAATGCAAGCAATTTTTATTTCTAACTTCATTATAGAAAGTCTCATCTTTTATTGTTTTTTAACCATGAATGAATGAGTATATGAAAGAGTGAATTCAAACAATTTACAGTTGTTTGGCAAGCTCAGTTGCCTGGAACCTAAGAACATGTAAAGTTGTACTCTATTAAACATGCCCCTGATCTTTAGGGAGCTAAGCAGAGGCTCAACTCTCCTATTTTAGAAGAGCCCTTGGTTGTCCAAATGACCCAGTATAAATAGCTAGTTATTTCAAGCAGTTCCTCTCCTGTGTCTCACCTCTGTATATATGCATTCATAGTTCTACAGTATATACAGTATAGCCACAATACATAGATTATCTTAAAGGCAATATATGTGTATATAAATGGCTTTGGTTTATTTCATTGTCTGTCTTAAATTCTAATCATTGAAGAGTCATTTCCCACTAAGGGAAGCAGATTATCTCAAGTGAATTGAAATTACCATTCCAGAGATACTTTATCATAAAGTTAATTTTAGGGGGTACTGGGAATTGAACTTAGGACCTTGAGCTTGCCAGGCAGGCACTGTGCCACTGAGCTATATCCCCAGCCATGATACAGTTCAATATTAGTGGGTATGGTGATGTTTTAATACATGTATACATTGTATGTTTAATCAGATTAAACATACCTATCTCCTTAAATGTTTTTTTCTTTGCAGTATTGGCAGTTGAAATAGGGCCTTTACAATGAGCTACATCCCGGGCTCTTTGTTTGTGTATGTCTGGGGGTGGGGGTTTGGTCTTTTTTTTTTTTTTTAAATCTGTACCGGGGATCGAACTCACGACCACGTGCTTGCAAGATAGGCGCTTATGCCACTGAGTTAAATCCTCAGCCCCTGGGTTTGGTCTTTTTGAGACAAGATTTTACTATGCCGTTCAGGCTGGCCTTGAACTCACTTTGTAGCACAGGCTGGCCTTGAACTTGCAGTGATCTTCCTGATTCAGTCTCCCAAGTGCGGGGATTAAAGATGTGTGCTTCTTTTAATTTTTTGAGACAAGCTCTTGTTAGGTCACTAACTTGCCTAGGCTAGGCTCAAATGTGTTATCCTCCTGCCTCAGCCTCCAACATAGGTGCTACTATACCTGCTTTATAGTAAATACATTCAAGATCTCTTACAACTTTTTGAAATATACAGTATGTTACTGTTATCTATACTTACTTATTTGTGCAATAGCACAGAAGAACTTATTCTTGTTTAGCTGTAACTTGATATTCATTGACGAGCCTATCCCTTTTTCTCCTTTGATAGAATGTAATTATTTTAAATTGAGGTTTCTAGATAGTCAGGTTTTTTATTAACGAAACATCTAAAACTGGAATTGGAACCTAAGAGCTTACATACTTTTTATTTTTTAAAAAAAATAGTCACTCAAATTGTAGAGAAGTCATAAGAATGTTTCAGGGACTATAGAAGAATCTCATAGCCCACACCTATTTTATAGTTGAGATAATGAGATAATAAAGTTATGGAATTATTGTTTTGGTATACTGGCATTGCAGTTAATTGAGATCTTAGATTTTAGAGAGATTTCTGAAGAATTTATAGATGTAATAAAATTACTTGTACATTTAATAAAATCTAATGAGATGTTTGGATTTGGGGGGTTTATGGGTGAAACAAAATTGGCCATGTGTTGATGATTGTTGAAGCTAGTTATGGATACCTGAGTCTTTGTTGTATTACTCTACTTTTCTGTGTGTTTGAGAGTTTCTGTAAGTCAAGGAGAAGCCACAGAAGTATCTTTTTTTTTGTATCGGATGTAGAACTCATGACTGCGCGCTTGCGAGGCAGGTGCTTACGCCACTGAGCTAAATTCCTAGCCCCAGAAGTATCTTGAAGAAACAATACTTATGCTATTTTGAAAGTAGTAAGTTATTTGTTGTATATGATCCCCAGCGCTGAGGAAGGTGAGGTAGGAGGATTATAGGGAGCTGGAGGCCAGCCAGAACTGTATAGGGAGACTCTTATCTCAACAAAACAAAACAAAACAAAAAACAAAAAAAAACTTCTGTTGAGCTTGGTGCCACATGTCTGTAATCTCAGGTAAATGTAGTTCTATGTCACAATGTCCTGCAAATTTAGATCTAGTTAATTCCGAATTGTGGTGGGGATAGAGAGACAATGTGAAATTTGAAGGGAAAGAGGAGGATCCTTAAGAGAGTTCAAGGCTAGCCAGGGCTACATAAGCAACTTTAAAGCCAGCCGGCACTACATGGCAAGACCTTGTTTCAAAAAAACGAAAAAAAATTTTTTTTGAAGGGAAAGATTTTTTCCCTCAAAACTTACCCTACGTGATTCTATAGCCAATCTGATATAGCCAATCTGCTATTCTCTTGAACTGGCATTTGGAACCTCTTAAATAGATACCTTGAAAATTTCCTTACACTTTAGGAGCCTGTGAGGCTGGGAATGTGGCAAGATAAATGTAAAAATAGGATAACCTGCGAATGGTTTCTTTTTGGCTATAAACCAGTAGCTTAGATTGCTAATGCCGTTTTTTTTTTTAAATCTCAATTTTCTTTTTCCTGCTGCCCTGTTTAGTTTAGATTGGTCATTTCCAGTTTTTGTATTCTTCACGCTTTGGTACGGCACTGATATGACACCCACGTAAGTCTCCCTGTAGTATACATCTTTTCCTGCTAATTTTTAATATTTGGCACAGTTGAATCTTGCTATTTTTCTTATTTGGAGTGTCGTTATAAGGTGTCTGAGGGGAATAATGAGGATAGGTAGGTTCTTACAAGGTTCCCTTAGCAAGATTCCCTAATGAGGTCACAGAGAACTACAAGTTGGGACTTAATGAGATAACTGGATAAGATCAGTTTTAGCAGAAGTGTGTTCCTAGATTACAAAGCATAGAGGAAGGATTAAAGTAGTAATAAGCAATGGATTATGAGAGATATGGATCAATCTAGATGGATTTCTGATTGATCAGCTGACCAAGTAGACAAAAATAGCATGATTTGTTCAACTGATCAATCAGAAATCAGAGCTAAATTAGGTATGGTGGTGCTTGCCTGTAATCCCAGCATTTGGGAAGCTGAGGCAGGAGAATCACTGTTAGTTCATGGCCAGCCTGGGTTACAAAGTGAAGTCAAGGCCAGGCTGAACTGCATAGTGAAACCCTGTTTTGAAAAGACAAAAAAATGGAAACCAGAGCTGCATTATTGCAGTGTAGTACATCAAGACCTTTACTAATAGCATGCTATCTGAATTTGGGTAGCTTGGGGTACTTGCCTAGTCTTAAAGCTTAACCGAAGCATGGCTGAGAAGGTAGATATTTGTTATCACTTCATTATCTGCTGCTGTATTAAAGCCCCATCTAATAATAATATGTAAGCACCACATTCTAAGAGGGCCACCAATAAACTACAATTTGTCTCCAAAAAAGACTTCAGTTTTCAAGATCTAAAAGTTACATAATTTAAGGAATTTCTGAAAAAGTTTGAGAATTTTACCTGAAGAAAATATGTATTAGATAATAAATCATGCTCTAGATCTGAGATTTTTTTCATCTATGAAATAGCAGATTAGGGGCTGGGGATTTAGCTCAGCGGCATAAGCACCTGCCTTGCAAGCAGGTGGTCGTGAGTTTGATCCCTGGTACCAATAAAAAGATTAAAAAAAAAATAGTGGATTAGACTAGATGATTTCTGAGGTGTTTTTGAGAAAAATAGTTAAAATTCACAAAGTTGTCGCTTAAAAGAGGAAATGAACCATTTTTAAATTTTATATTTTGGTATCTGATTTTGGGGAATGTGGACCAGGAATTGCACTCAGGTTATAGTGTTTGCCAGGCAGGCACTTTCGCTGCTGAGCTGTATCCCTGACTGGTTTTATATTTTGGACAGGTTTTCAATTCAATTCAGGGAGTAGAATACCTTGAAATTCCTGGTGTTTTCATAAACAGGATAGAATATTTTCTAAAATAGTTGGTATATTAGAGATGCTAAGTATATTTGTGCAATATTAGGTAGCAATTTATGCTAGATTTTAATCATGACAAGTAGTGGCAGGGTTTAAAATTTAAATATATTTTATAGAAAATCTTTAAATCAAGCAAATCATATTTTCTTATATTTTTCTTGTGAATTAAATTCCGTTTAGTAACTTAAAGTCTAGTGTCCCAGAAAGTAAAACTAGAACCAATAGGGAAAAAAATTCAAGAAGGCAGGTTGGATGGTGAAATACCTACACAGGAATTTAGAAAGAGCCATTTCATAATTGTTGCTCTCAGACTGTAAACAGTGATTAGAGGCATTCAATCAGAAGTTTGATGTGCACCTGTTATAAATGCCACCTACAGAAAGGATTTTATTTTCAAGGGAAAATTCAAAGCCCTTTTATTAATGAATACTAAAATTTTATTTGGTTTGTGTAGAAGAAAAGTTTGATTTGGGAGACCAAAGGGAGACGTATACAGAACATTAATAATAAACTGAATTTGGAAGTCTGTTATACAGGAATTTTAA